AATTATTTCCAATGGAATTGATAATTATTTGTACATGTCATGAAAAAGTCAGATATCGAGTAAGCGATTATTAAACATGTTAAATATTGACCGATTTGACTTTTCTAATATTTTTTTGTATTTGTTTTCTCTTTCAAAAGCCTACTATTACAAGTAATCATGTATTTGCATGTATTTAAAAAAAATGAAAAGAAAATAAGTCAACAAAAATAAGAAAAGTCAAAATATACTTTCAAAAATAGTATTCGGTTCAGTTTTGCCATCATAACAAGAGGATTTGTTATGCTGTAAAAAAAATATGTATCATAAATTATGAAAATTTTTTACCTTAGCTAGAAATATAATAAATTGATGTACTCACCTTCAGAAAAGTGTTTCTGGTTGTGCTGAGTTGAGTTTTCTTCTGCCATTTAGAGGTGGCACAGGGCAAATCCACAATGCAATCTTGATTATATCCCCTTTCTGTTAGCTGCCTCCGTAGCAGGGACACATCTATACAAAACACAATGTAGTTCTTATGCTTGCGTCTTAATTTCTGTCCAGATTTTACAGTTTGGCCCATCCTTCAACATACATGTATTAACATTAAATGAGAAAGGATATATAAATGTATACACAAACTCGGCATGATAATTCCTCAAATAATTTTAGAGTACCAGGTCGTTCGATAAGACCCGATCATAACAGCTATCATATTACGATATCTAAAGCATCCCTGCATAGGAAGGCGACATTTTCAGGTTAAAACAATCAAAGATAAGGGTGACAATAAAAGAAAGCATATTCACGCAGCTTGAGTTACCTTGTTTATTTTGAAGAGAAGGTCTGTCACTTCCAGTCAACCATTGTAAATAATTTGTGCTCCACGTGGGTTTGTTGACAATAATTTCACGCTGAATCGTCTATATGTTAGATTATTACGCGAATGTAGTACACAATTGATAAAAGGAGTTACATACCTCTTTTCTTCTATTTTATACATGATTATTGAAAAGATAAGTTCCTCAGTAGCTATGTACCTGTCATTAATTCTTAAACATAATTACCTACTTGAACTATTTTATCCCTCGTAGTAATTCTAAAGATCGATTCAGTACCCCGTGCTAATCAAATGTTGAACCCGATTTGTTTATGTTTTAGATTTACTGTGATACAGCGTTGTCGTTCGTTCTTCTCTCAAACGTGAAACGTATCAGCAGTACTAAAGTAACTATTCGTTCTATTATTAGGCTATTATTTTTATTGGACTTTTGTACATTAATCAAAATAAATTATTAAAATAAATTCGCCATAACACACGCTTTTTGATATGATAATAACGATAAAGATTGGGAAGGGGGTCGAATATGATTGAGCGGGTTGTATGCCCTTAGTTTAAGATACATCCGTTTGGTGTACCATGAAACGGGGCAAACATCTTGAGAGGTCGAAAGGTCAACAAAGCATGCAAAAGTAAAAGGCGGCTTCCGCCTAAAAAAGTATCATGAGTATTGTTTGGTATTTTTAAAAGTTAAAAAATGATACATGTATTACTATAACATAGTGGCAATCGCATCATCTCAGGGTCTTTCCGTCAGAGGTCGGAAAAACAACCTCGAATGTATTTACATCACCTGATGTTGAAAAGTTATACATTTCCTGTTTATTCAAATATAGGATAGACGAAGTCCCTTCTATAGTATATTTTAGGTAATATCATCACATTGAATAAAGTTAAACTCCATATTCCACAGATAAAAGGTCTTCATGCATTTATTTCAAAGATCGTGAAAAGGGGGTTATTGTCATGGCGTCTACCTAATACATTCGAGTTCGTTTTTCAGCTATCAGAAAGGCCCGAGAAGTTGCGATTGAACATAGTGGGGATATTTGTACTTTTATTACCAGTCCCTGGTAGAGTATCTGAAATAAGAACATACTGAGGTTGTCAAACACTTGAATTCATATGGTTACTGGTATCTGTTACATGAGAACATAGCGGGGTTGTTTGTTTAACACCGTGAGGTTACTAAGATGTCTGATATTTTCTATCGGAACATAGTGGGGTTGTTGTCTAACACTTTGTGGGGTTAGTGTTGTCTATTATCTTTATATAAGAACATAGTGGGGTTGTAACACTTTATCGGGTAAGTATTGTCTATTATCTTTATTAGAGTACATAGTGGGTTGTTGTCCTAACACTTTATGGGGGTAGTGTTGTCTATTATCTTTATATCATATAAGAACATAGTGGGGTTGTTACATTATATCGGGTAAGTGTTGTCTATTATCTTTATAATAGTACATAGTGGGGTTGTTGTCCTAAAACTTTATGGGGTTAGTGTCGTCTATTATCTTCACAAGAGTACATAGTGGGGTTGTTGTCCTAACACTTTGTGGAGTAAATGTTGTCTATTATCTTTATATAAGAACATAGTGAGGTCATAATACTTTATGGGGTATATGTTGTCTTTTATCTCTATATAAAAACATAGTGGGGTTGTTACACTTTATGGGCTTAGTGTTGTCTATTATCTTTATTAGAGTACATAGTGGGGTTGTTGTCCTAACCCTTTATGGGGTTAGTATTGTCTATTATCTTTACAAGAGTACATAGTGGGGTTGTTGTCCTAACCCTTTATGGGGTTAGTGTTGTCTATTATCTTTACAAGAGTACATAGTGGGGTTGTTGTCCTAACCCTTTATGGGTTTAGTGTTGTCTATTATCTTCACAAGAGTACATAGTGGGGATGTTGTCCAAACACTTTGTGGGGTTAATATTGTCTATTATCTTTATATAAGAACATAGTGGGGTCATAATACTTTATGGGGTTAGTGTTGTCTATTATCTTTATATAAAAACAAAGTGGGGTTGTTACACTTTATGGGGTTAGTTTGTCTATTATCTTTATTAGAGTACATAGTGGGGTTGTTGTCCTAACACTTTATGGGGTTAGTGTGGTCTATTATCTTTATTAGAGTACATAGTGGGTTTGTTGTCCTATCACTTTATGGTGTTAGTGTTGTCTATTATCTTTATCAGAGTACATGGTGGGGTTGTTGTCCTAACACTTTGTGGGGTTAGTGTTTTGTATTATCTTCATTAGAGTACATAGTGGGGTTGTTTGGCTTATACTTTATGGGTTAGTGTTGTCTGTTATATCTATGTAACATAGTGGTGTTGTTATACCCCCCGCTTGAAAAGCTGGAGGGTATATAGTAATCGTTAATTCCGTCCGTCTGTACGTCTGTCCGTCCGTCCGTCTGTCTGTCCGTCCATCCGTCTGTCCGTCCGTCCGTCTGTTACGCTTTGGGGTACCCATCTCTTATCGGCAACTCCTCTCATACCACTGAATGAAATTTGATGAAACTTTCACAGAATCTTTATTACATATTGCCATTGTGCACCTCCTCTTTTACTTTTTGATCCGACACATATTTTGGGTTTTCCAGCCACAGGAAACATGGACTTTTTCACCAGTTATAACCATATGGGAGGCGGGGGGTATCATTTAGTGAGCTCATCGCTCACAGTACCTCTAGTTTGTTTAACACTTTGTGGAGTATTCTTGTCTATCATCTTTAGGTGAAAACATGATAGGTTAGTTTACTTTAGTGCATGTTTTTCTCAAATAAGAACATTTTTGCATTGTTACTGGTATTATGTAGTAGAAAATGTTATTGCTATTTCCCTTCTAAGTTCTTCAGATAAACAGTAACAATTTTAAGCATTGGTGATTAGTTGCTTGTAAAGTTGACTTGATATTAACCCTGTAAATAATTTATATTCTTTAATCCCACAAATATAGATCTTTAACCCAACAAATATATAGATCTCTAACCCCACAAATATAGATAATCACCCTCAAATATACTACTTGTTTGAATTCCTAATGAAACCTCTTAAGTCACCATTATACTAGTAATAACCCCACAAAGCAAAATGATAACCCCGCACCTTCCGTAAAATGCACAATGTACCTCTCAACTGTATAGCCGTCTGTATAAAATTTTTCAAAATGCTACTCCTCTTACAGTTTAGGTCTGATTTCATTCTAACTTGGCACACAAGACTACACTAAGATACATAGTATAGTGCATCAGATTTTTATTTTGATGAACGGTGTTGCCATGGTTACTTAAAATAGAATTTTCTTAGAAATTTTTTTAGATAGCTTCTACTCATTTTGGTCTGATTTCAATCTAACATGGCACACAAGTAGACTAAACCAAGATACATAGTTAAGTGCATCAATTTTTGATTTCAGTTATTAAAAAAAAAAGATATTTTTGTGAAATACTTTTGAAATGCTACTCCTCCTACAGTTTTTGATTGATTGTAATACATGTATAATGTGACGTGGAAGTAGACTACACTGAGATATATAATTGTCTTTATTGTTTTTTATTTTAATGAATGAGGTTCCCATGATAATTTAGATTGAAATTTCTGTAAATTTTTTAGCTCTACTGGTCAGAGACCAGAAGAGCTAATGCGATAGTAAGGTGTCTGTCGTCTAGCTGTCTGTCCGTCTGTCTGTAAACAATTTTTCAAAACGCTACTCCTCCAACAGTTTTGGTCTGATTTCAGTATAACTTGGCACACAATTAGACTACACTAAGATACATAAAATAATGCATCGATTTTTGATTTCGATGAACGGTGTTGCCATTTCTAAAAATAGAAATGTCTGTGAAATTCCTTTAAAATGCTCCTCCTCCTTCAGTTTTGGTTTGATTTCAGTATAACTTGGCACACAAGTAGACTTCACTAAGATACATAAATCAGTGCATCGGTTTTTGATTTCCATGAACAGTGTTGCCATGGTTACTAAAAATGGAATATTCTGTGAAATTCCTTTAAAACGCTGATTTCAATATAACTTGGCACACAAGTAGACTACACTGTGATACATGCTTAGTCTAGTAATATGGTGCATCAGTTTTTGATTGCGATGAATGGTGTTGCCATTGTTACTAAAAATAGAAATATCTGTGAAATGTGTTTAAAACTTGGTCTGATGGCAATAGCTTCTTTTCCCATCCTTTGTTATGAGTACAAACCAGTAGAGCTACAGTCTCGACAGAGACTTCTGGTTTGAAAAGACTTTTCCTCCAGTTGTAGCCCTATTGCTTTCTTTCGATAAAAAGAAACTACATTAAGGATCATTACGCTATTTATTGCTGTGGCAAAGTTTCAAGTCTGACTGTTACTTTTTTTCCTTCCTTTGTTATAAGTACAAACCTGTAGAGCTACACTCATTTAATTTCGTTTCCAAGTTTCTGTTGATCATTAGTGCAGGTTATGACTTTCAGAGTCATAAAAGTTTATCTCATAGACACTAACGTTGTAATACATGAAATAAATAACAAAAAATAACAAAAATAAAATTGCTTCTGCTTGATTTAGATCAATTCCACCACTGACCTGGAGGAAAATGCAGATGTTTTAAGTGTGTGGACGGGAGGTATCACTTTGAAAGAGAGTAACTTTCTGGGCAGTGTAACGGGGAGACCAGGGAAGACACAGGAATTCTACTCACAAAATAACTATCTTATCCTACAACTTAGCATGGATCACACAGTTATCAATAATGGATTTACTGCAGACTTTGAAACAGGTGTGATACTAAGTATTTAAGATATAGTCCATATGGTAGCAGAGTGTATGTATTCTAGTGCCCAGTAATTACCGGTATTCTTAAAGTGCAAAGTTAACATAATTTATAGAAATTGCTGCATACATTATACTTTACAAAGAAATGCAAAAAAAAATTATGATAGAAAAATTAATACAATTAAATTTTCAACAATTTTAAGAAAAATGAAATTCCAGTTATTAATGTGATAAAAACCCTGTATAACTGTCTATGACATAATATCCACGATGTATTCATCTTGTCTGTTTGTACTGTAATATGTGTACTTTTATATTTAATGATTCAACATGTAATACAATGCATTATTTCAAAGTTTAAACAAGATGATATGGCCATCTTTAAAAAAAATGGTTTGTTTGTCCTCTCCAAAACATTTTTAGCTCACCTTAATTACCTGTTGTCTATTGTCCGTCTGTCTGTTTGTAAACTTTTAATTTCTTCTCAAGTCCCACCCGGCCAATTTTAACCAAACTTTGCACAAAGTATCCTTGGGTCAAGGGGAGTTAAAATTGTTCTAATGAAGGGCAAAAACCCCTTACAATTAGAGATAATGAAGAAAAGACAAAAGACAAAAATAGTGTGGGGTCATTAAAAATCACTTGACCTGAAATGCTGAAACTTGTGTGGAAGCATTCTTGGGTAATGCTGATTCTAAATTGTTCAATGGGCCTCTTGTTTACTTTACCCTAAATTATTATGTTGAAATTTTCTACAAAAAAAAAACAAAAACAAAAAAACAATCACACCTACATACCGACTCATTTTTTTAAAAAAAACTCAGAGTCAGGAGAGAACATAAAAACATTATATTAAAGATGGCATAATTATGATTTTTTTAAATGGTTTACATCCTTGTTTGATCAAATCACAGTTGATGAGACCAAAATTTGGAATAATGAGAAAATGCTAAATGCTAGCAGTAGCTAGCAGACTTTGGAATCACCAGTGTATGGCCAGGCTGTTCCCTTTGGACTACAATTAGAGTGGTTAATAACAGCAGAATCATACACAGTGGTTTCTTTGGAGGTATAATCTTTCATTTTGATGTATTCCCCAACAAGAGTATTTTAAAGCACACAAGACTTTTGTACATCTGTAGGGAGAAGATACATTTATGAGATATTGTTACATTAGAAAAATCAAGTAAAAATGTACCAAAAATTAAATTGTCCTCTGTTTTAAGGTTTTACCAAAAATGTTTAAATATGTTCGTAATTTTCTTTCAAATGTACAAAATTCACAATATTTCATTAAAAAATTTGATAATAAAAAGTTTTTTTTATAGGATATCTTATTATTCTAATATTTGAATCAAATAAGGTGAAATAATGAACTTTCCTTATTGCAGTTTACAGTAGTAGATCTACCTACAGATGGTTCCCTGAAAGTTTACGATGGAGAGGATCTGATGGCTCCCCTTGTTTTCTCAATAACTGAAACCCCAGAACATCCATTCTACATTTCCCAGAGCAAAACCGTACGAATTGTGTTATCAACCAATATACATGAGTATGGAAAGTATCGTGGAGTTCAACTTAAATACAAAGAAGGTAATACATGAATAAAAGACTGTGAGAGATTAAGTTAAATTTTATTCTTGATTTCACATTAATCTCAGGAAACTTCTGGCCTTTCCAATTGGAAGAATTTAGCAACATTTGCTAAAATGGAGAAAAGCATAGGCACTTGCAAACATATTTTTCTTGTCAAATAAAATTACTCATCAAATTAGACACTTTACCCGGTACATATTTTTCTTCAAGTGCTGTCCTAATGACTTATTTTTTCACATGAAAATTTATGAAAAGAATTCTTCTAGATCATGACACGATTGTTTTGCTGGTCTTGAAGTTCTTTGTCATTTTATGGAGATATATCATTACAACTGAAAAGGCAAATCCTGGACAGGGATTGTTTTTAATATGGGTCCACTTACTTAATTTCCAGAAATAAACAGAAAATTTCGTTATAAGGTCTTAGTTCTTGCATTTACTAAGAGGTTACAAATTGTCATTTTTAGCTCTTCTGGTCAGAGACCAGAAGAGCTTATGCGATAGTAATGCGTCCGGCGTCCGTCCGTCTGTCTGTCTGTCTGTAAACAATTTTTCTAAACGCTACTCCTCATACAGTTTTGGTCTGATTTCAGAATAACTTGGCACACAAGTAGACTACACTAAGATACATAAAATAGTGCACCGGTTTTTGATTTCGATTAACGGTGTTGCCATGGTTATTAAAAATAGAAATTTCTGTATAATTCCTTTAAAATACAGTTTTGATCTGATTTCAATATGACTTGGCATACAAGAAGACTTCACTAAGATACGTAAAATAATGCATCGGTTTCTGATTTTGATGAACTGTGTTGCCATGGTTACTAAAAATAAAAATTTCTGGGATATTCTTTTAAAATGCTACTCCTCCTACAGTTTTGGTCTGATTTCAATATAACTTGGCACAAAAGTAGACTGCACTAAGATAAATCAGTTTTTGATTTTGATGAACGGTGTTGCCATGGTTACTAAAAATAGAATTTTCTGTGAAATTCCTTTAAAATGCTACTCTTCCGACAGTTTAGGTCTGATTTCAGTATAACTTGGCACACAAGTAGACTACACTAAGATACATAAAACAATGCATTGGTTTTGATTTTGATGAACGGTGTTGCCATGGTTACTAGAAATAGAATTTTCTGTGAAATTCCTTTAAAACGCTAATCCTTCTACAGTTTTGGTCTGATTTCAATATAACTTGGCACAAAGTAAACTACACTAGCTTTTAGATAAATAATTTACTGCATCAGTTTTGATTTCGTTGAACGGTGTTGCCCTGGTTACTATAAATAGAAATTTCTGTGAAATACTTTCAGAATGCTACTCCTTCTACAGTTTTGGTCTGATTTCAATAGAATTTCGCACACAAGTAGACTATACTGTGAAATATACAAGTAATTAAGTTAATCTGTTTTTGATTTCGATGAACGTTGTTGCCATTGTTACTAAAAATAGAAATGTCTGAAATTCCTTTAAAAGCTACTCCTTCTACAGTTTTGGTCTGATGACAATGGCTTCTTTTCTCATCCTTTGTTATTTAGTACAAACCAGTAGAGCTACAGTCTCGACAGAGACATCTGGTTATTTTTTGCAAGCATTTAAGCAATAACTCATTTTTTGAAAGATATAGTCTCATAACTGCAAGGGTGTTTGCAAAGAAATTGAGTAATGAGTTATATCTTTCAAAAAATAATGATTCATAGCTTATTTTTACATTTTTTAAAATTCTCTGCCTTGACTGCAAATGTGATTTATATTTTAAAACCCATGTGGTTTCCTTCATGTAAGCAAATAAATGGAAGAGCCACATAACAGCTTCTGGTCAATGTGAGCGTAATTTTTTATTTTCGATTATGACGTTGCACTTCCTTGGTGTTCAATGATTGTGACGTCAAAATAAAATGCAAATTTTAACCTGTTTACCCTCTTTCCATGTTACCGTGTTTTGAGTGCAATAGATTTCAATTCGCTTTATATGCAAAGAAACAAATTTGATCAATCCATGGCCCCAAGTCAGGTATGAACTGATGAAGTTTAAAAAAAAATTCAAAGAATCATTAAAAATTGGCTTTCTCAAGAATGGACTCCAGATAGTGAAACCTTGAAGTCAGTTTTAAAGTGCAAAATCAAATCTGGTCTGGAGGAGGATTAAAACATGCTTAACAAAGTACCAGGGACAGACAATTTAGCTTCATTATATAATAAAAGTAATTTGTAAGGGCCCCGCTCTGTGGACGCCCTATAGTGATGGGTCTTTTCGTCCATCTGTCCATCCAAGATCTCTTGTCTGGAGCATATCTTCTCTGTCCTTAGCCCAGTCTGGCTCGCACATCACACAAAGAGTGCCTTTGGGAAAAGGTTGTTGAGTGACCTTCAACCATGTTTCTAGGTCTAAAGTCAAGGTCATAGGAGAATTATATGAAAAATCCTTGTCCGCAGCATATCTTCTCTCCCCTTTGTCCAATGTGGCTCTGCTTCATTCACAGGCTCCTATGGTCAATGGGTATGCAGTGACTTTGAACAAAATTTATAGGTCTAAGATCAAGGTCATAGCAGAATTACGGCAGGTGTGACCGGTCAGCAGGGGATGCTCACTCCTCCATGGCACCCTATCCCACTTTTTTTGGAGGTCCTTGTTTGCTCTGCTCCTTTTTTGTATTGTTTTATGGACTTTGATATTGAATACTATGCGTTATCTTCATATCCTTCATCCTGGTTTTTGATAGAGGATAGGCAACGTTCATGATTTTTGTGCTGTTTTTTGATAGAGGGTATTGAGTACTTGTGATTTTCGTGCCATTTTTAGCTCACCTGAGCCGAAGGCTCAAGTGAACTTTTCTAATCACATTTTGTCCGTCGTCCGTCCGTCTATCCATCAAGCTGTCTGTCCGTCTGTAAACTTTTCAAGAACCAGTGGACCAAATTTGACCACACTTGGTACAAAGTATCCTTGGATGAAGGGAACTTCAAATTGTCAAAGTGAAGGGCCAAGTCCCCTCACAAGGGGAGATAATTAATAAAAGACAAAAATAGGGTGGGGTCATTAAAAAATCTTCTCAAGAACCACTGGGCCAGAAAAGCTGAAACTTATGTGGAAGCATCCTGGGGTAGTATAGTTTTTAATTGTTAAATTGTTCAAATCATGACCCCCAGGGGTTGGGTGGAGTCACAATAGAGAATCAAAGTTTTACATAGAAATATATAGGAAAAATCTTTAAAAATCTTCTTCTCAAGAACCACTGGGCCAGAAAAGCTGAAACTTATGTGGAAGCATCCTTGGTTAGTTTAGATTCTAAATTGTTCAAATCATGACCCCCGGGGGTTTGGCAGGGCCACAATAGGGAATCACAGTTTTACGTAGAAATATATAGGAAAAAAACTTTAAAAATCTTCTTCTCAAGAACCCTGCAAGGGCCAGAAAAGCTGAAACTTATGTGGAAGCATCCTGGGTTAGTGTAGATTTCAAATTTTCCAAATCATGTCCCCCAGGGGTATGGCGGGGCCACAATATGGAATTAAAGTTTTACATAGAAATGTATAGGAAAAAACTTTAAAAAATCTTCTCAAGAACCACGAGGCCAGAAAAGCTTAAATTGTGTGGAAGCATCCTGGGATATTGTAGATTTTAAATTGTCCAAATTATGACCCGTGGGGTAGGGTCGGGTCACAATAGGTATTTCGCAGCATTGTTAAGGCTTGAAAAAGGGGATGGGGCCTAATTATACGGGACATGTTTACTGTGACACCGCAAAAAAATGTTGAAAAAGTTTTTTCATAATACCAGAAAATCAGATACTTTGCAATATAAAACTGTATTAGCATAATAAACAACATCAAAACTTATCAATGCATTAAAAAAAGTTGCTAGTTAAATCCCAGACAACAGTTTATAAACAAATCACTGATCGCAGCAAACTTGTCGACATGACGTTATTTTGGTAAAAAATGACGTTTTTTATGTGCTGTGGACGGCAGATCAGGTGTATTTTTTTACAGTGAAAAATGCATACATTATTAAACAGAATATTATTTACAGATTTTAGATCGGCTATTAATACCAATGTTAAACCTTTGTTTAGTGCGATTATTCAATGATTAGTGAGAGAATGTATTTAATTAATTTTACCGTGTTTTGTGTACAGGTTTGGCATTGAGGTAGCTTATTAAATCGCCTTTTTGCAAGGGCATACACTTAATAGGTGTTAGCTATTTTTAGAATATAAATAAAGGATGTGTTCCTTAACTTGAAAAGTGCTGCTGCTTTCTTTAAATCGAGAGTGTGACTTAAAAAGGACATAAAATACTTGGTAAAGGTCAAATATATTTCCACATGAGGATATTTACTTGAAATTTTAACTAATAAAATTTGAATTCTATATAAAGCAGCAGCACTTTCTAAAAAGTACAAAGTATGCAGAAACAATTGGTAACTTAATTTTTTTATTTCAACTACGGTATGCGCTTATGATATTGAAATTTGTTGATGACCTCCATTCAGTACACATACTATGCATTTATCACGTGACTGTCCATTGATGGGACCTAACTTAATTCAGTACAGAGTGGGATATACTTTATTATTTCAAAAAATATTTAAGTTATGTAATAATAAAACGGCTTTGTAAAAATAAATTCAGTTTTAAAAAAGTTCCCGTTTTTTGCACGTCTATATTCAATTGATTTCTTCATAGTAAGCTTTAACAGTGCTGCGTACAAGGGGGAAATCTGGTAAAAAAAACAGCATGGTCAAAGCTTCTCTCAGGTGAGCGATGTGGCCCATGGGCCTCTTGTTTCATATTTCATTTCATCATACAAATACTATTATAAACATTTTTTTATTTAATTATTTTTTCAGAGAGTAGTTTTATTTGGGTCCCCTTTAGACTCGAACAACACATCCCTTAATAGTAATATTCCTTTTCAGAATAAAGACTTTTCAGATTTCTTAAATTTTCATGTTCATTGCTGAAAGTAGGGCCCTTCGATATGGCCCATCTCAATGATATCTAGTTACATGTTAAGTTTACAATATATTTTAAAGTCACAGGAAATGAAAATCACTGCGCTTAAGTTTCAATGCATTATAATCATGATCGCTATAAGCATGTTTTACTATATGTTAATGATTTTCAGGCTGTATGTTGGATTTGACGCAGCAGGGAAAAATCTACTCACCTGGCTACCAGATTAACAGCTATCCCTCCAATGTCACCTGTACTTGGCATATTCACAAAAAGAGTGGAGAAACTAGACCTATTTCTCTTCGCTTCACAGATTTCAAATTGAAGAATAATTCTGATTATGTAGAGGTACATTGTTATGGGTCAGAATAACCATAAGGCCACAATTAAAATATTGTTGGTTTGGCGTTGCCGACCCGGCCTTAATACGTTTGGGTCAGTAGGTAGGAGAAATATTTTTTTTTTCAATTTCAGAAATGTTGTTAGTTTCCGGGCATCATGGGTTTCGGATTGTTTAACAACAACTGCAGTCCGAATTGATTTCCAGTTGTTATTTATTTTCAAACCCTATTAGTTTTAAAGCTTTAATATACATGGCATAAAAAATCGCAGGTTTTGAATTGGCATAAAGTTGTTTTCTTATGCACGAATTTAAGCATGGCCGCTAGGTTCATCTACAATGTAGCAAATCGGACATAACATTGTACCTTGAAATTTCTTATTCAAACTGGTATAACTGATTCGTCAGTATATTTTCGCCATAACACACATTACCCCGGAGAGTCATGCCATTAACTTCTGTTATGCAGAGTTTACCGCGTTCGATAGCCATGCTTGGATTTGTGATACGCATAGACGCTTTCACATGAAAACTGTCTATCAATCAAGCGTTCACATGATTCTTTCCTATTTTGTATATTACTCAAACATACAGACACCTAAAATCTGGATATATAGAACGAAAAAAAAATACGATCCGTATCAGTTAAAAAAGTCTTCGGACCGCACGGATTTACCTGGCCGGCAACGCCAAATAAAGCTTATTGTATTTTTGGCCAAAATGCCAGCAAAGATCAATCACACACTTAACAATAATTTATTTACAGTAATATATATGGATCATAAAGTACAAACTTAGCAAAAATCTAAAAAAAACATACAACAGAGTGTCCGTTGCTGCACACAATGTCCCAGTGAAAATATATCCCAGTCTCTTGGTACGCCACTATTACTTGTACATCAGTGGTGCTTATACGACAAATGTATATCATGCTTACAATTGACAGAGTATTTATACATTATCATAAATCTAGAATATTCCAGAAGTTGTTAAGACATGGTTTTACTGGAACAACCTGGACATACACAAATGTTCTAGAAAAATGACCTGGAATGTTCAAGAAACTTCTTAATGTTACTAATTATGATGAAACAATACAAATACAACACACCTCACAACACCTCCCCCTTAAAAGTTTGAATGTCAATGAAAAACTTATTGTAAAACATATGTACATTAATACAAAATCTGGTATCTTTACGATACTCTTGACAAGGCATCTGCAATAACATTGTCTTTGCCTTTATTGTTACATTGTATTCTTGTAACAACAAACTCCATCTAGTCAATCTTTGATTCTTGTTTGACAATATATGCAAAAATGTCAGAGGGTTGTGATCCGTAAATACAAGAATTGGATGTAAAGTAACATTCAAATAAACATCAAAATGCTGTAAGGCTAACAACAAAGCAAGGCATTCCTTTTCAATGGTGGAATACTTTTGTTGACATTTTGTAAGTTTCTTTGAAAAATAAGAATGTTCTTAAAGCAAAGCTGCTCCGATTCCAACATCACTAGCATCAACAGTTAGCTTAAATTGCTTAGAAAAATCTGGAGTAGACAAAACTGGATTGCTCTTAAGGACAGATTTGATTTCATGAAATGATTTTTCACAGCCCTTTGTCCATTCAAAGTTAACCCTCTTTTGTAAGGGGACTAACTACTGAGGAAAAATTTGGACAAAATTTTCTGTAAAACCCAGCCATGCCCAAAACCCTCATTAACCTTTTCTTGTTTGTAGGAATCGGGAACTTTGCAATAGCTTCCACTTTAGCCATAATGGGTGTAACATAACCTTGACCTACTTTGTGACCTAAATACTCTACATAAGCATGACAAAATTCGCTTTTTTCAAGGTTCACAGTTAGGTTTGTTTTAGCTAAAATGTCAAATAAAGCACGCATGATTCAGAGATGTTCGTCCCATGTGTCACTGTATATGATGACATCATCAATGTAGGCCTCGCATCCCTGAAGGTCCTGAAGAAGGGAGTGAATCATCCTTTGGAATGTAGTGATGCATTTTTCATGCCAAAAGGCATTACTTTATACTGTAGTCTGGTCCGATTTATAGAAAAAATACTTCTAACGGCAAATAATTATTATTTGGTCCAGCATAGTTTTTTTTAACCTATTTCGAGTATGCTGAATCCGAAAAAATATGCTGGCCTTCATGAAAATGGCGTTTAAGAGGTTAAAATGGCGATTCAAAATGGCGGACATCCAATTTTTCTATTTTTTTCTTAATATCGTTCAAAAAGGAGAAATAATGTGTGAATACCTCACTGAGTGTAATACAAGTATAAAATAATAATAGAATGCTAACATTATTAGTTTGACTCAGAAAATTTAGTCGTTTTTACACTTAATTCGAATTTCCTTTGATTTTTTGGTCTATTGATCTATATTCCGCTTTGTTCAAGATTTTACATTTGAAAATATCCATACACTGCAGATTTGTATTTTTTCCTCTGCATCTCACTACTCTACAACTGAATGATGGCGCAGTTGTAAGTTAAAAGTCAAAATGGCGATTCAAAATGGCGAATATTCATCTTTTTAAAAAAATATTTCTTAATGTCATTTACATAGGAGAAAGGGTTAGTGAATATCTTACTGAGGTAGTACAACTACACTGTATGTAAAATGCCAATAGAACACTAATTTAATCACTTTAAATCGGAAAATTTAGTCGTTCAAATTTGAAATGTGTTAATTAGCTCAAAATGGCGATTCAAGATGACGTCTTATACACTCGAATTCGTAGAAACTCTTAATTCTGGTTCGGTTTGCAGAAAAAAAATTACAGTTTGCTTTTTATATATATATCATATAAAGTATATTGATTAGTCCATTAAATATGAACAAAATATACTTGAAAACACTTAAGATTTTCCAAATTTCCCCCTTCGTATTTTACCGTACGTGTTTCAAAGCCTTTGAACCCCCGTCCACCTAAAATCACTCCCGAATCTTGTCATTATCAACTCGCACTTCTACCTCAACATCCCTCGGCACACCATCAAATATAACTGAAGAAATTTCTGTCCGATTTCATCGAACACTTTGTTCTTGCTTTTTAAAACTTATAAGAACTTAGTATTATCCCTTAACTTCTTTTATTCCATGTGTATTTGGTATATGTTGCAGTCTGTCTTCGGAATTTTGGTATTTTCAACACTCAAGTAAAATGGTGCCCCGTGTCAAGAATGACATCCCAATTGACACGCATAACATCGTTTCTCTGGAGTTCGACAAAGAGTAAGCTCACGGGGGCCGCCAGAGAAACCATTTTTTTTTCAAAAACCGATTATTTAAACTGATAGTTCGCCGAAACATGGCTGAAAAATTGCCGACTCGGCGTTAAACAGTATACAATCAATCAACCAACACTCAAGGAACAACACATTTATGTTCAAATGTTAAAAGTATATTTTGTTATCCAAAACCATTTGCAAAATGAACTAGTGGTACTGTGAGCAATTAGCTCACTAAATGATACCCCGGTCTCCCATATGAATATAATGACAGTGTCCTTGTTTTGTTATGGGAAACCCAAATTATGTGTCAGAACAAAAGGTAAAATAGGAGGTCACAATGGCAATATGTAATAAAGATACTGTGAAAGTTTCATCAAATTTCATTCAGTGGTATGAGAGGAGTTGCGGATAAGAGATGGGTACCCCAAAGCGTAACAGACGGACGGATGGACAAACCGATTACTGTATACCCTCCCGCTTTTCCCTCCCCCTTTTCAAGCAGGGGTATAAAAAACTCTGATATTCAAGACATGTAGCTCTTTAATTTGTGACCTCGTATACATTTGTTGTCTTTTAGGGTAGGAAGGTCATTCTATTAGCAAGAAATTTCTCAAACTTGATCATCTGAAATCACATTGTGTGCATATTTTGGTGAGAAAAGTTATGCAATTTAAGAGCGCCTGCAGATTCCTCGTGATTCCTATCACTTACAAGCTTTCGTACCAATAGGCCTAAGTCATTCCTGATTTCGATCTAGTCAAACTTTTCTTGACAACAAAATTTTCTTGAACACTTCAAGAACTTGATCCACACTTCTTTGTTAGTATAGTTTAAGGTTGTATCAAGAACCGAGGGGGGATTGAACACAAACATTTTCTTCTTTCAGATTTTGTAAATTTCAAAATTTTTAAATTAATTTTATATACATTGTTCAATACAAAATTGTCCGTTCACAGGATGAAATATTTGAGAATCAGTTGAATTTTTGACTGAGAATAACAAAATGCAAATGCAGGGACACAGAATCAGAGCTGGACAATCAAGAAAATTTGTGGTTTACGTATATTATACTGATAATTCTTAATATATATGTTGATATTTGGATATTATAATATATTCAGATTTATATGATGTAACAATTTCTAGCCCTATAATTGGTCGTGGTCAATCATTCTAAAAATCACACTAAGTGATGTTGCACCAGACCTTCCACATGAACATAAACATTTATTTTTTTTCTACGCTGGACTAAAAATAGATCAAGAATTCCCAACAACTGAATGTTCACTCGCCTTAATGCTCGAGGGATACTGCTCTTGGGGTAGCTTAATTTTCATATTGTCCTCAAAACAGCAATTATTATATGATATTATTAACTTTTTATATGAAGAAGCAAGGTGAGACAGGTAAAAGGTAAAATATCTTCGGAATTGTCGTCAAACATTTATCTTAACAACAGAAGTAATTAAACAAAAATCCGTGTTATAAAAATCCTAAGTCATTAATAAAAATATCCTCCAAATTTCATTGCATATTTGAACATTATTTCATGAATAAAAAAATTATTCAAACTGTAATTTATTTTCTGCAAAACGAACCAGAATTAAGCAGTTTTTACGATTTTTCGAAATTCGAGTGTATAAGACGTCATTTGAATTGCCATTTTGAGCTATGATTAACACATTTCAAATTTATCGACTAAATTTTACGATTTAAAGTGATCAAATTAGTGTTCTATTGTCATTTTA